GTACCAGTCTTCTGTTGGCTACCAGCGCGGGAAAAATGGGCCCATCTTTCCCGCTCGAGATTGCCCGCTTTGATCCCGAGCAAGAAAATGATTGCGTGGAGCGGACTTACAAAGTTCGTAGTTTTTTAGATAATGTTGGCGATGGAGTTGCAGAAAGCGCAGAAGACAGTCTAAACAAAGAAAAAATTAAGCGACTCTCGTGGGTTCCCCAGTTGCACTCGTTGTGCTACGAACACGCTTCGATTTCTTTCCGGGTTCTCAAAATAAACAAGTCATTCTTGACTCTTATTATATCGAATACTATAAATCCTTTATCGACCAAGTTGGTTTAGTCAAGATGCCTGAATGTCAGCCTCGTTCTCTTTTTTGCGTTTTTATGGACCTCGACTTCGTCTCGGTCCATAAATACACCAAAACAAAGACGTCGGTCAATATCCAGCCATCTTGACATCACGCTTAGTCAATAACGCATATTTACTGTCTGCCATAGAATTGTTATCACGTCACTTCCAAGAATTTGGTATTCGATCAACTGGTAAATCTTTAGTTGATATTTTTCTTTCTTCTCATCACTTGTCTGCTTGATACTGTATCGATAGTGTAAGGAGAAATTCTGTCTTGGTTACTCATGGAGTAATCAACCAAAAGGGCTCACGTTGCACTTATAACTGATTATGCAGGCTAAGGTACTTAGCCTGAGCTTAATCGGATTCAAAATACGAAAAGGACATTAAGAATTTTAATTTTTATTTCGCATGTAAAGTAAGAGGGGATCAGTCCTCGCCATTAATGTAATGCGGGCTACGCTCTGCCCATCTTGTGGATGAAATTGTTAAGACTTTCAACGGCTCATAAACCGCCCGAAGAGCGGACACAACTGATGATAACTTCACGAGCTACTTGATTGAAGTTTTTTAACGAAAATTTTTGCTGATAATAACTTCGTGAGCAACTTGTTTGAAGTTTTCCAACGAGAATTCTTGCTTTTCGGGAAGATCATTAAGTCTGTTAATAACACTTTACAATTTTCATTTCAGGCGGAATGATTTTGCATTTCATGCCTGAATGCTTCTTTTTCTGCCACGAGATTGGAAGGAGGTTGTAGTTACCAAGGTAACGACATGACGTTGGCCTGTAGCTGTCACGCGATCACGCGATCCCTCTAATATCGTATTGCTACAAGGCACCTTCTGATCTGTTGTTGATATTGAAGTAGAGTTAGATGCTTTCCTGCAGCAAAATGGTCCCCCACACCGATAATCTTCTGTCAAAGTGTGCTCACTTTCGAAACGAAACTCAATTTATTGACGTTCAATTAAAAGTTGGTGAAGATATCTTTCCAGCTCATCGCATCGTATTGGCTGCGAGTAGTGATTATTTGTACGCCATGTTTACAGATGAAATGGAGGAGTCCAAGCAGGAAGTGATCGAGTTCAAATTAAAGATGGAAGCATCTCACCAGATGTTTTAAAAATCCGATACTGAACTCTGTGTACACTGGAGAGCATCTTGTCGACAATAAAACTGTATCCAAAGTTCTTGCTGCTGCAGATCATCTTCAACTCGCAAGTGTTGTTCATCAGTGTTTTACCTTCTTGTTGAAGGAGTTCGTGAAGATTCGCTTAGATTTTGAAACCGGTTAATGTCGCATCTGGGGAATTGCGTCGAACTATACGCTCAGTGAAAGATCTACAAGACGCTGCACAGTGTGCTGTGGCTAAAATGTATAAAAATGTCTGCGAGAGCAAAGAATTCCTAACGCACATCGATGGAAACCAATTAGTCAGCCTTCTCAGCCGAGATGACCTCAATACGCCATCTGAGACTTTTGTCCTTAAATCCGTGTTGCAGTGGATTAACTACAAGAAGGAAGAGAGGATGCCAGTCGCAGCCAAAGTTATCGGGGCTGTTCGTCTGGGGCTGGTTGATATTGGAGTTGTGATTGATGACCTTCACACAGAGGAGATGCGACAAATTCCTGAAATTTCAACTTGCATGACCATGAAGCAGCAATCTATAAACACAAGCCTAAGTCTTCAGTGAAGTAGACGAAACCACGATCAAAGAACCCGATAAGTGTGTTTTAAAAGAATATGAACTGTTTTTTTTTTCCATAAGCAAATGTCGATCGATATTAAATTGCATTTACACTGGTTGTGTCAAGGGAGTTTGTCGTGCACGGTTTACGCTTTTTTTGTTCCTGATGTTTTGTTTGTTTGTTTTATAAGCCATTTTAGTTTTTTTCTTTCTTATTCTAATAATAATTTTGTGCTTTCTTTCACTTTGAACTGAGTAACCTCCTTCATCCAGAAAAAAGCAGAACTTCTTGAAGTTGTGGGGGAGTAGAGTAGGAAAGTTAAAGTAATCTTTGGTTTTTTTATCAAGCTATATCCTTACCTTGTAATTCTCCTACAGGTTCTTGTTGCTGTTCTGCCACATCAAATACAGTACTTCGATGTAGTGGAAAAGTCTTGGAAGTCGTTACCGGTTGCCACACCGCGAATGGAGGCCACTCATTGTTACTGCGCAATGTCTGTTGGCAATAAGTTGATGGTTGTTGCACAGGACTCCCTAGGTAACTGCATTTACCGTTATGATACAGAGATAAATGTGTGGGAGAGACTCCCGTATTCAGGTGATCGCATCAACCATCTGTGTGCTACAGATGAGTATATGTATGCAGTAGATATACACGGTCAAAGTCCTCAAAAGTGCGATTTCGTTATACGGCAATGGCAAACATTTGCTGGAGTACCCAAAAACTGTAACTTAAGTGGTGCAATGCAGTAAATGGTTTGAACCCGGGGGTAACATGTGAAGGTGTAGTCTGATCGTCCGGGTGAGTGTAGTCCTGAGAAGGACTGTTGTCGGTGGCAGTGACTGACGTTTCGACAACCTGTGCGGAAGTCATCATCAGAGTCAAGTGAATGATTGTTGTCAGTAGAATGTTCTTATTCCAGTTCGTGTGAAATGAAATTAAGTGGTGCAGTAGTATTGAATTCAAAGGTGTATGTTCTGGAGAGAGATAGGACCCGAAAAGCGGCGATCGATGATGCCGGCCGTGTTACACTGTTTTGATCCTCAAGAGAATATATGGGAGTAAAGAGCGAAAACAACTTCCTCCCAGCTTGGATCCATTCTTATAGTAGTGAAGAGCAAACTCTTCATTGCTGGGGGCGGATCCGTTTGGACTAAATTTTCAAAGTGGGGCTCTCTGTATGATACTAAACCTGCATGCGTATCTGTAGAAATGTATAACGAAGAAACCAACACCTGGTCTGTTGTTGAACAAAAATATATTCTCGCTAACAATCTCAACGCAGTGAATATAGAGGGGAGAGTGTATTTTATCATCAATAAATTTCCAATCGATAGTGGGATTAGAATTGCACATGGGCATCTGAATTCTACTGTTCTGAACGAGTGGGAGAATTTGGGAAAAATAGATCAAAATGTAGCCCTTGGTTATGTGGCGATAAAGAGGTAAAGTGGGGACAGAAAACAAGTTTAGGTTGGTTCCCTGTTTGATTTCTCTTTGTTACTTGAAGTGCACTCTAGCTGATGTTATTTCTCCTATACATTCATTCATTCGTCCATGTTTTAGTGCACTTTTTAAAGGCAAAACTGATGACCATGTGAAAACATGCCTATCGCCCCATAAAGCTCTGTAATATTTTTATGGTCCCTCTCGTCATATGTAGTTAACTGGCAGTCCATTTTTCTATACACTGTTGGCGAACACTAATCCCCCTCTGATCCGGCCCCTGAAAACCATGTGATCCCCCCCTAAAAATCCTTAAACCCGCCGCGCCCATCCAGGCAATAGAACGGGAATATAAACATAAGAAAAAAGAGGCGAAAGCAATATCTGAAATGTGTTGGATGGCTTTATTTATAGAGGGTAGCACTTAATAGCTAGAAGCTAATAAACTTGCAGCCCTCAGAACACCCACCCATCCAACCCCAGGGGAGGACATCCATCACACAGTAATCTCGTGCGTGGNCATGTTGTTATTTTCTATATCTTCCAAGTGAAAGAAAGGATCGGTCACTTAGTGTAAATTCAGTGTCAGCATTAGCTGACTTCGTTGCCCGAGAGGAAAACATCGCTTTAAAAAAATGAACTCATTTTTCTAGGAATTATACGAATAGCTGAAGGTATTAACCTTCTCTGACGGCACCAGACTTCACATCCAGCTTGACTTGTGTGAGCCGCTTTAAGCACCAAACAGAAAAATAAACGATTCGCCGACGCGGTTTCCTTTTTCAGACCACTCAAATTATTACGTTGAGTTTACGTTCTTGTTTAGCAGAAGACGGACGGAAATGCACAGAGTTTTAGAGCGCACAAGCTGAGATTTTTTCCCTATTCATTAAATCTTTTGTTACACCATGTTCGCGTTACCATCGCCGTCGTAGTTTGCATAAGGTGCCAAATATTCATGTTTAGGACGCGGAAGTAAAACCCACGGTTCCAGCATGACTGACGAAAAGGTGCTGCCTTTGTGCACGGGGTTCTTACTTTTACCGCAAAGATCACGACACAAAGCTTGCTATGTTGTGGTAAGTCATTGATCATGATGCTCGGTCTGAGTAGGGTGAAAATGTTTACAGTAATTAATCTGCCTATAAGAAGCCAGGGTTAAATACAGTATTCTTTCCATCATTTAATTTCAGAATAATAGCCTAAAACGTGTGCTGTTAGGTTTAATGTCAACTTCCCCAAAGAGGAGATTTCACAGACCTTTACTGGCCGCAGATCGCTTATATCGCAAAGCGGATAGAATTTAATTTAGATACAATGAAATATATGAAGTTCATATATTTCTACTGCGAGGATCGTGCATCATAGTAAGAATTTAATTTACCACTACTTAAATGCGAATGATACTCAGTGGCCATGGTAACGAGCTGACGTTGATATTAATCCACAGTCACGCAATATTACGGGATCCCAAGAGCCTCTAAAACCTCAGTGTCATTGCTTCTCCGTCGCTGGTCTTGAACAGCAGTGAAAATCTCATTTCGATTAGCACAATGGTTGCCCACGCTGATATCCTTCTGTCGAAGTGTGCTCAGTTTCGAAACGAAAGTCAATTCATCGACGTTCGATTAAAAGTTGGTGAACATATTTTTCCAGCTCATCGCATCGTGCTTGCTGCGAATAGCGGTTATTTCCACGCCATGTTTACAGACGGAATGAAGGAGTTCAACCAAGAAGTGATCGAGCTCAAAGATGAAAGCATCTCACCATATGTTTTAAATATAATACTGGACTCCATCTACACTGGAGATCTTCTTGTAAACGAGAAAAACGTATCCAAGGTTCTCGCTGCCGCAGATCATCTTCAAGTTGTAAGTGCTGTTCATCAGTGTTGTAATTTCTTGCTGACCGAATTCATGAAACTTCGTTTCGACTTTGAAACTTACGGTCGCATCTGGGAAATTGCGTTGAGCTATAAGCTGAAAGATCTGCAAGACGCCGCAGAGTGTATCGTAGCTAAGATGTATACGGATGTTTGTGAGAGCGAAGAATTCCTGACGCACATCGGGGGAAATCAGTTGGCCAGCCTTCTCAGCCGAGATGACCTCATTGCACCTTCTGAGACGTTTGTCTTGAAATCCGTGATGCAATGGATTGACTACAAGAAGGAAGAGAGGATGCCAGTTGTAGCCAAAGTTATCGGGGCTGTTCGTCTGGGGCTGGTTGATATTGGAGTTGTGTTTGACGACCTCAACACAGAGGAGATGCGACAAATTCCTGAAATTTTTGAGCAGGTCCACGAAGCATCAATTTATAAACACAGGTTAACCTATAAACCCAAGTCTTCAGTGGAGCAAACGAAGCCACGTTCAAAGAACCCGGTAAGTGCGTTTTAAAATGATAGGGACCGTGCTCTTTGTTTTTTTATTTCTAGCAAATGTCGATCGATGAGAATTTGCCTTTACAGTGGTTGTGGTAATGAAGTTCGTCACACACCGTTTCAGCATTTTTAAAATGTTGACGAAATTTTTTCAAGTTTGTAGCTTCAAATACGATTTTACTGATCCTTTGCATCCTCAACTATCATCGTTCCAGTTTGACTTTTTATGTGCTTGTATTTTTCCATGCCATTTGGTGGTGTCCCCTCCTTTTCTAATATTAATTTTGTGGTTTTCTTTATTTTCAAGTCACACTGTAAGATAGAAGGGAGCTGAAAAGTTAAAGGGAATTACCGTGTGTTGTTTGTTAATGCTTTATCGTAACGTTGTAACTCTCCCACAGGTTCTTGTAGCTGTTTTGCCTGGAGAAATGATGCAATACTTCGATGTTGAGGCCAAGACTTGGAAAACGTTACCGGTTGTCTCAGCGCAAAATGCGGCAACTCATTGTTTCTGTGCAGTGTCTGTTGGCGATAAGTTGATGGTTGCTGCTTGCGACTCCTCAGGTAACTGCATTTACTGTTATGATACAGATGAGTCTATGTATGCAGTAAGAGCAAACGGCTTTCAATGTTTCCAAAGGTACAATTTTGCTAGAGGGAGTTGGCAACCATTGGCTACCTTAAAAACTGGCAATAATTTAAACTTAAGCTTAGGTGGCGCAGTAGTATTGGGCTCAAAGGTGTATGTTCTGGAGAGAATGGAAACGCCGACAGCTTTTCACATATTTAATCGCGGTCAATCGATAAAACCGGCCGTGTTGCACTGTTTTGATCCTCAAAAGGATGAGTGGGAAGTAAAAGCCACAACATCCTCACCTCATCTTGGATCCATTCTTATAGTAGTGAAAAGCAAACTATACGTTGCTGGGGGCAAAGGCATATGGAATATTTCAATTGACATGCCTTCACCTGTCGAAATGTATGATGAGGAAACCAATACTTGGTCTGTTGTTGAACAAAAATATATTCCTGCCAACAAACTTGGCGCGGTGACAGTAGAAGGGAGAGTGTATTTTATTATCAATAAATTTCCAATTGACAGTGGAATTAGAATTGCACACGGGTCCCTGAATTATACTGTTCTGAACGAGTGGGAGAATTTGGGAAAAATAGATCAAAATGCAGCCCTTGGTTATACAACGATAAAGAGGTAAAGAAGAGAGAGATCAACGAGTTGAGGGTGGCTTTTTGTCTGATTTCTCCTAGTTACTTGCAATGCAAACGGGCTGATGTTATTTCTCGTATATATTCATTCCTTCATCCATTTTTTAGCGCACTTTTGAAAGGCAAAATGGATGACCGTGTGAAAACATATCGTATGTGAGAAAAGAATATAAAATTGTGAAGCTAAAAATCCGTGTTGTAAGTCACTTTTAATAAGGACCGCAGTGCATTGCGTGTTTGTTAGGAGAAGACGGCGTCATACCAAGAAAATAGTCTCTCGTTAATAAAGCAAAGAAGTGGCATGTGTGGAGAAAGAGGCAATTATAATGTGTTCGTTTTTCCTTAAGGAAATATGTTCAGGATTAGGTAAAAGTAATCTGTATTATGACTTGCAGATGAAAATAAGTAACAAAATGCAGGTGTTCTGCAATCAAAGAAATGGCAGAAGTCGAGCTTAAAACACCTCAAACTTCGGCAGGATTCGAACCCGCGTCTCGCTCCCCGCGTTTGCCTGATAATGAAACAAAATTGTGAGAACGTTTTTTATGTTTAACACTTCAGAAAGTTAAAGCGTCAAATATGGCAAACTTAGTCTTCAGTTAATTCTCTAACTGCAGAACATCTTTGAAATATAATCAGAAAGTCATTTAGAAAGGTAACGGGTTATTGAGGCAAACTCAATGTTGAGGCCGTACGAAGACCTGTGTGTTTTGATAATTGTATCTCTACATTGTTATAGAACGTTTACACGCATTATTGGGATTTTGCTTGTTTTGTTATATTTCGCATGATTAGCGCTGCACTAAGTGAGTTATTGGTTCTTTACCTCTAATAGAGACCGGTAGAATGTAACCGGAAATATTGACAAAGAATGCGTAGAACGATCGACAAACAATGATGTAATTAACTAGATAATTGCTAGTGAAATCGCGTNAAATATGTTCAGGATTAGGTAAAAGTAATCTGTATTATGACTTGCGGATGAAAATAAGTAACAAAATGCAGGTGTTCTGCAATCAAAGAAATGGCAGAAGTCGAGCTTAAAACACCTCAAACTTCGGCAAGATTCGAACCCGCGTCTCGCTCCCCGCGTTTGCCTGATAATGAATCAAAATTGTGAGAACGGTTTTTATGTTTAACACTTCAGAAAGTTAAAGCGTCAAATATGGCAAATTTAGTCTTCAGTTAATTCTCTAACTGCAGAACATCTTTGAAATATAATCAGAAAGTCATTTAGAAAGGTAACGAGTTATTGAGGCAAACTCAATGTTGAGGCCGTACGAAGACCTGTGTGTTTTGATAATTGTATCTCTACATTGATAAATTGTAATTTCATGTGACTTAAACCCTTAAGTTACATTATTAGACTTGGTAGATAAGGTTAGATTAGCGGTTAAAACCATTGGTTAAATCTTAATCATTTTCTAACTCCCTGTAAATCATTTGACTGTGAAATAAATCTACTTGAATGTTGAAGAGCAACAGTTTCATAAATTAATGTCTTTCATCGCGTAAAAGGTTTTCAGCCACATGGTTAGCAGCTCAGAAAATTTACCAGAAAGAAAGAAAGAAAGAAAGCCGTCGAAAGAGCCTGCAGGACTGACTTGGCGCACCAACCTAGCACGCATTTTATTGTCTTGTTAGTCAAAATGGGCGCCATGAAGTCATGTAAACACGATGTGTAAGCAAACCGACCTGGTTTTTCTCTTATCTAAGTTCTGCAAATTATTTTTTTGGAACGAGTAATAACATGGTGTCCTTTTCTTTGTGTTTTTTTTTTTACTTACGAACCTTCCAAAATATCGCACATCTGCGTCTAAAGCCTAGAAAAAAAAAAACCCTGAAAATCAACAATATACGTCATAATATAATACGCACTACTAGTTCAAAACCATATCTGCGATGTGTTGTTATTCTGAATTTCTCCCAAGTGATAGAGGGAATCCGGGTCGCTCAGTGCAAATTGTATCAGCATGACTGAGATGCCTGAAAACAGAAGAACTCAGTCGAATTCAGTAGTGTTTCTTTTGAGAAATAAAAGTAGCGAGGAGATAACGAACACCGCAGAGTGAATGAACAGCTGTCGTCGATCAGTTTATTAATCAGCTTATACTGGGTCGAATATTCAAGGATGTTGAGGGTCATAAGTCTACGTGAAAGCTTGAAAGTACTGATTGAGATACGTATAAACAGAGACAGCTTTAATGCATCAAAATAAATCGAAAATTTCAAAACACTTCAGTAGTTGTTGAAGTTGTAGAAAGTTTTTCAAGCCACTGTATGTCATATTGGAGATCTCTTTGCTTTTGTTTTGGCGAATGTATCAGTCGGCAGATGTCCACAAGGGTTTACTCTAATTGAAATTACATTATCAGCTTTCCATCTTGAATGCAACCTTACAGCTCCAGACTGTTCAAGTTGTAATGGACTCTCCCCGTAACATCTTTGTGCAATACCGATATTCCTAAAACTAATCTTCCTTAACAAATGGTAAACACCACAGCGTACACTATTGAGTTATGGATGTACGCGGGAGGTTGCTAAGCACGAAAGAAGCGTAAGAGTCGCTCGAGGCG